AATTACATGGAAACGGAGCAACCTGCTCCTGAATTACTCCTTGGTAAATGATGAAATTAAGGCAGAAATCAAGAATTTCTTTGAAACTAATTAGAGCAAAGAGATAACCTACCAGAATCTCTGGGACACAGCTAAAGCAGTGTTAAGAGGGAAATTTATAGCACCAAATGCCTATATCAGAAAGCTAGAAAGATCTCAAATGGACACCCTACCATCACAATTTTAAAAAGCTAGAGAGGCAAGAGCAAACTAATTCAAAAGCTAGCAAAAGAGCAGTATACAAGAAATAACTAAGATCAGAGCAGAATTGAAGGAGATAGACACAAATAATGCTCCAAAAAAATCAATAAAATCCTGGAGCTGTTTTTTTTTTTTTTTTAAACAAAATAAGATACACTGCTAGCTAGACTAATAAAGAAGAAAAGAGAGAAGAATCAAATAGATGCAACAAAAATGACAAAGGGAATATCACCACTGACCTCACAGAAATGCAAACTACCATCAGAGAATACTACAAACACATTTATGTAAATAAACTAGAAAATTTAGAAGAAATGGATAAATTCCTGGACACATACACCCTCCTACAACTGAACCATGAAGAAGTCAAATCCCTGAATAAACTAATAACAAATTCTGAAATTGAGGCAGTAATTAATAGTGTATCAATTAAAAAAGGCCCAGGACCAGATGGAGCCACAGCCAAATTCTATCAGAGGTACAAAGAGGAGCTGGTATCATTCCTTCTGAAATTATTCCGAATAATTCAAAAGGAAGAACTCCTCCCTAATTCATTTTATGAAGCTAGCATCATCCTGATACCAAAACTGGGCAGACACACACACACACACACACACACACACACACACACAACTTAGGAGTTCAAGACCAGCCTGGTCAACATGGTAAAACATTGTCTCTACTAAAAACACAAAAGTTAGCCAGATGTGGTGGCATGTGCCTGTAGTCCCAGCTATTAGGGAGGCTGAGGTTGGAGAATTATTTAAACCTGGGAGGCAGAGGTTGCAGTGAGCTGAGATTTCACCACTGCACTCCAGCCTGGGTGATGGAGTGAGCTCTGTCTCAAAAAAAAAAAAAAAAAAAAAAAAAAAAAAAAAAGGAAAAGGAAAGGAAAGAAAAAAACTTTAGGCCAATATCCCTGATGAACGTCGATGCAAAAATCCTGAATAAAATACTGGCAAACCAAATCCAGCAGCACATCCAAAAACTTATCCACCATGTTCAGGTTGGCCCCATTCCTGAGATGCAAGGATGGTTCAACATATACAAATCAATAAACGTAACTCATCACATAAACAGAACCAATGACAAAAACCATATGATTATCTCAATAGATGCAGAAAAGACCTTTGATAAAATTAAACATCTCTTCATGTAAAAAGTGCTCAATAAACTAGGTATTGATGGAACATATCTTAAAATAATAAGAGCTATTTATGACAAACCCACAGCCAATATATTGAAAGGGCAAAAGCTGGAAGCATTCCCTTTGAAAACCAGCACACGACTGGTAAGCCCTGTCTCACCACTCCTATTCAAAATAGTATTGGAAGTTCTGGCCAGAGCAATCAGGCAAAAGAAAGAAATAAAGGGTATACAAATCGGAAGACAGGAAGTCAAATGATCTCTCTTTGTTGATGACATGATTTTGTATTTAGAAAATGCTATTGTGTCAGCCCAAAAACTTCTTAAACTGATAAGCAACTTCAGCAGTCTCAGGATACAGAATCAATGTGCAAAATTACAAGCATTTCTTTATACCAACAATAGAAAAGCAGAGAGCCAAATCATGAAAGAACTCCCATTCATGGTTGCTACAAAGAGAATAAAATACCTAGGAATACAGCTCACAAGGGATGTGATGGACTGCTTCAAGGAGAACTACAAACCACAGCTCAAGGAAATAAGAGTGGACACAAACAAATGGAAAAATATTCCATCGTCATGGGTAGGAAGAAAAAATATTGTAAAAATGGTCATACTACCCAAAGTAGTTTATAGATTCAGTGCTATTCCCATGAAACTACCATTGATATTCTTCACAGAATTAGAAAAAAACTACTTTAATTTTATATGGAATCAAAGAAGACCCCATATTGCCGAGACAATCCTAAGCAAAAAGAACAAAGCTGGAGGCATCACACTACCTGACTTCAAACTATACTGCAAGGCTACAGTAGCCAAAACAGCATGGTATTTGTACAAAGACAGACATATAGACCAGTAGAACAGAACAGAGACCTCAGAAATAACACCACACATCTACAGCCATCTGATCTTTGACAAATCTGACAAAAACAAGCAATGAGGAAAGGATTTCCCATTCAATAAATGGTGCTGTAAAAACTGGCTAGCTGGAAAAACTGCAGAAAGCTGAAACTGGACCCCATTTCTTATACTTTATACAAAAATTAACTCAAGAGTGATTAAAAACTTAAATGTAAAACCTAAAACTGTAAAAACCCTAGAAAAAAACGTAGGCAATACCATTCAGGACATAGGCATGGGCAAAGACTTCATAACAAAAATGCCAAAAGCAATTGCAACAAAAGTCAAAATAGACAAATGGGATCTAATTAAACCAAAGGGCATTTGTACAGCAAAAGAAACTATCGTCAGAGTGAATAGGCAATCTACAGAATGGGAGAAGATTTTTGCAACCTGCGCATCTGACAAAGGTCTAATATTCAGAATTTACAAGGAACTTGACACATCTACAAGAAAAAAACAAACAACCGCATCAAAAAGTGAGCAAAGTACATGAATAAACACTTCTGAAAAGAAGACATTTACACAGCCAACAAACATGAAAAATGTTCAATATCACTGATCATTAGAGAAATGCAAATCAAAACTACAATGAGATACCATCTCATGCCAGTTAGAATGGTGATAATTAAAAGATCAAGAAACAATAGATGCTGGTGAGGCTGTGGAGAAATATAAATGCTTTTACACTGTTGGTGGGAATGTAAATTGGTTCAACCATTATGGAAGACAGTATGGTGATTCCTCAAGGATCTAGAACCAGAAATACCATTTGATCCAGCAATCTCATTACTGCGAATACACTCAAAAGAATACAAATCATTCTACTATGAATACACATGCACACATAACGTTTATTGCAGCACTGTGTACAGCAGCAAAGTCATAGAACCAACCCAAATGCTCATCCGTGGTAGACTGGATAAAGAAAATGTGGTACATATACAGCATGGAATACTATGCAGCCATAAAAAGGAATGAGATCCTGTCCTTTGCAGGGACACAGATGAAGCTGGAAGCCATCATCTTAAGCAACACAGGGACAGAAAACCAAACACCACATGTTTTCACTCATAAGTGGGAGTTGAGCAATGAGAACACATGGACACAGGGAAGGGGTCAATGTGCACCAAGGCCTGTTGGGGGATAGGATGCAGGGATAGGGAACTTAGATGATGGGTCAATAGGTGCAAAAATGTCATGTTTTTCAAAAAGAAAAAAAAGAATAAAATTATATACACACTCACATACTTAAAAAAAGGAAAGAATAGTACTCTGTGTCATTCATATTTTCAGTACAGCTTATTACATAATTGTTCTTTGGATACCGGCCATTCATGTATAATATTTCTCTAGGCACTAGGTTATCTAACCAGAATGTTTAATTTTCTCACCATAATTAACAGTTTAGTTTACAAGTTATGAAGATTTCATTTAAAAAAAATCCTACAGAAGAAAACTATAGTCATTCTTTTCTGCAGTTAATGGCTAATTTATTTTATGCCACTTTTGCATTTTTTGGTTCCTTCTAATTTTCAGGAATTTAGAGATTCCTTTTATGTTAGAATGGGGAAACAGGGTTCATTTCCGTGTGGCCTTGATTTTTCACATATGTAGTGGCAACATTTCACAACAATAAAAAGAACGAAAGTCAGTAATAGATTCACATAAGTGTTTAGCTAGAAAAATGAGACATACTTAATGGATATGTGTCAAAGCAATATTAGCTAGAAGCAATTACAGAATAAAATGGCTAAAATCATAATCCTAATGAAAAAATATATTTCTTTACTTCATCATAAATTTATCTCCATGAAATTAGATGCACATCTCTTGGGGTATACATATCACTAGAAATTCTCTCACCAGTGGACTTCTAAAATCACCAACATGTTACTAATTTCTTATCTGCAAGTGTTCTTCAAGAAGGTATCTCACCTGTTTCCCTTTTCACATTCCTTAGAAAGCTGGAAACAGTCCCAGTCCTCTGTGTGACAGTGAACCCTAAGGCTATGAGTGTTTTCATTTACAACACTGGGATTGAATACCATTTTTTTTTTTTTTTTTTGAGACGGAGTTTCACTCTTGTTGCCCAGGCTGGAGTGCCATGGTGCGATCTCAGCTCAAGGCAACCTCCTCCTGGGTTCAAGCAATCTTCTCCCTCAGCCTCCCAAGTAGCTGGGATTACAGGCATGCACCATCGTGCTTGGCTATTTTTTTTTTTTTTTTTTTTAAGTAGAGACGGGTTTTCGGGTTTTCTCCGTGTTGGTCAGGCTGGTCTCGAACTGCCGACCTCAGGTGATCTGCCCGGCTTGGCCTCCCAAAACGTTGAGATTACAAAGGCGTGAGCCACTGTGCCCGGCTGAAAACCTCTTTTTAACTCCCTGGAGATATTTGCCACACAAAGCTCTCCCTCAAACACACAACCTCTTTCTACCTGGTGCCTTTATGCATTTGGAGCTGGACTTGGAATGAATTGTCTGCAAGCTACCGTCTGACAGCCCTAACACATAATCTTGGGCTTTCCTCTGCTCTCCAGACTCCTGTCTTGCATCCTCAGAGATGTCTTGGGGATAAAAATGAGTTTAAAACAAAACTTTCCTTAGCTGCTCCAGCGGCTGAGCGCAGAGCGCCGTGCCCTCTTCTCTCCCAGTTCTGCTCTGTACCCGTGAAAAAGGGGGCGGAGAGGAGAGAGAAGAGGAAAAGGCGGAGGTCACTCGCGCGCCTCATCTCGCCCAGGCTTCGAGCGAGCTCAGCTAGGTGCAGAGGGATCCTAGGAGCCAAGCGTCCCCGGCAGGTTCCGGGCTAAGGGAACGAGTGAGCGGAGGGGTCCAGCGGTGGGTCCACAGACCGCGCCCGCCCAAGCAGGATCTCCGCGCTGAGCTCGGTGGAACTTAAAGCAGCGGTGGCGCCCGGCGCGCCATGGCACACCGAGCGGCTCGCTCTTCTGCTCCACAGAGAGCCCGACTGGCGGCCTGGGATGACAAGGTAACCACCCCTCCAGAGGCTGATCCCAACGCATTGGCCTCAGGATGCTTATCCAGACCCACGTTTAACCAACCCATCCCCTGGGACACCCGGGCGCATCTTCTGCAGGCGGCTCCTGGCACGGAGTTTGGACCAGATTACCTAAGCTAGGGAGACGCGTAAAGAAGGATACTCGGGCTAACCCGTCCCCATTCTGAGCTGTTTGGATGGGGAGAGGGTAGAAAGGGTCTCAGAAGAGGGAAATCGGCAGAGATCCCGCTTCTCGCTGCTGCAGGGTTCACTGCGGGCGGCACTTAGAGTTCCGACCCGGGCGTCTCCTCACTCTGGGTCCCCGGGATAAGAGAGAAACAGCCCTCTGGCGTTTGAGCAATTGCAGAATGTTTCAGCGAGTTTGTTAATTTGGAGAGGATGTTGTGAGGACAAGCCGAAGGGCGACGGGGGTAGTAATGGGCTAAAGTCGAGCTGTGAGTAAGACTTGGAGGAGGCCACCGTCCTGGGGAAAGCCTAGGCAGTCCCAGTCAGACGGGGCACAGGAAAAGCTGGCTCTGGAATTTGCAGCCTCCGGGAAAACTAGCTGCTCGGGAAACGCCAATCGAATTAGCTCGGAGCAGAGTGGTTGTGGCCTTGTGTATCCAGTGTCTGTGACTCAGGCTTCAGCCCTCTAGGGAAAGAGTGACAAGTAAATACTTGGCCTTGGATGTTGCTACTCTGAAGCTGTAATTGGACAGTATCTTGGCCGAGATGCACAGAGTGAGCATGGCCTGCCCACTTCCCCATCGTGAATCAGAATTTCTGCACAGGGGCAGCTAGACCAGAAAATCTTCCTAGAGACTTATCACTCTGCTTTCCATAGGTTCACTGTGTGTGTGGTTTGCTGTTATTTGATTTAGGCTTAGAAACATATTCAGAAAATCTGAGTTTAACATCTATGAACTTGCTGTTCCCCTTTCAAAGTTTGGAGATTGTTATCTCTGCCTGACAAGCAGGACATTCAACTGAGAAATAATCTTCAGTTTGGGGACAAAGCCCACCAGAGGAAAGAGCAGACACTTTAAAAGGTCTGGTTTTTGTTTGTTTGTTTGCTTTAATAGACTGTTATGATTTAAAAAACCTCATTAGGTTTAAACCTAATCTTGGCAGCGATTTTGTAAAACTGGAAAGTTTTAAGGTGTCAGTGAAGTGGGGTGGGGGTGCATTCAGGAGGAGGTGCTCATTTGCAGATGGGCCACAGAAGTTCACCAATGGGTCTCAATTTCGACAGCTTCTTTACCTTGAAAATGAAATGTAGAACCACAGGCAGATATGAGCTGCTTTCAGTATGATGCAACCTTGCTTCTAATAGGCCAGATGAAACCTATTCCACCACAGGATGCTGGGGCACGGCAGTCATAAACGTCAGATGAGCAGTTCATAATTCCTCTCTCTTTATCCTACAGATGTCTGGACTGCAAGCTTGCACAGTTTTGAGAGGGAGATGACTTGAGCGGTTGGCTTTTATCTCCACAACAATGTCTATGAACAATTCCAAACAGCCAGTGTCTCCTGCAGCTGGGCTTCTTTCAAACACAACCTGCCAGACAGAAAACCGGCTTTCAGTATTTTTTTCAGTAATCTTCATGACAGTGGGAATCTTGTCAAACAGCCTTGCCATTGCCATTCTTGTGAAGGCATATCGGAGATTTAGACAGAAGTCCAAGGCATCGTTTCTACTTTTGGCTAGTGGCCTGGTAATTACGGATTTCTTTGGCCATCTCATCAATGGGACCATAGCAGTATTTGTGTATGTTTCTGATAAAGACTGGATCCGCTTTGACCAATCAAATGTCCTTTGCAGTATTTTTGGTATCTGCATGGTGTTCTCTGGTCTGTGCCCACTTCTTCTAGGCAGTGTGATGGCCATTGAGCGGTGTATTGGAGTCACGAACCCAATATTTCATTCTACGAAAATTACTTCCAAACATGTGAAAATGATGTTAAGTGGTGTGTGCTTGTTTGCTGTTTTTATAGCTTTGCTGCCCATCCTTGGACATCGAGACTATAAAATTCAGGCATCGAGGACCTGGTGTTTCTACAACACAGAAGATATTAAAGACTGGGAAGACAGATTTTATCTTCTACTTTTTTCTTTTCTGGGGCTCTTAGCCCTTGGTGTTTCATTGTTGTGCAATGCTATCACAGGAATTACACTTTTAAGAGTTAAATTTAAAAGTCAGCAGCACAGACAAGGCAGATCTCATCATTTGGAAATGGTCATCCAGCTCCTGGCGATAATGTGTGTCTCCTGTATTTGTTGGAGTCCATTTCTGGTAAGAGCCTGAAGTTTTGACTTCTACTTTCTTGGGTTAATCCATGTTCAATTCCAGGTTATCTTTTTTGAAGTTGTTAGTTTGGAAGTTCAGTCTTTTAAATGCTAAGACTGACCCTTATTCAACATTTATTTCAGCACTCAGCTCTGGCTTGGAATGACACATATGGTTATTTTCCCATAAGCCCTGAAGTGAAAGAAATGTGTTGCTAAATAATTCTAACCACAGTGTTAATTGCTTGCAGAGCAATGTAGTTCTTACAGAATTTACATATTTTTAACACACTGAATATGATTATTTCTAAAATGTGAACAAAATGACCAACTGTAAAACAGCATTGGAACAGATTGCAGTTAGCCTTGGTAAGTCTTGATAGAAAGTCACATGGACTTTTCATTAGTAGACAGGGCATATTAGCTACTGGGTTCTCCGAAGCACGCAATGACAGGAACTGCAAAGGTTGGTGATGAATTGAAATAGCTGAATAGTTCAGGTGTACTGCATAGATAGTTCAAGTGAAGAAATCAGTAGTTCACTAATTCAGGAACAATGCCATTAGTCCAGGAAGAGGTATGTTCAACAGGAAGTCCAGAGATTCTTTCCTTTTGGTTTCATTCATTTAAAATTTTAAGTTAGCCAGCATCTGTTTGTGATAGCTTGATATTTTAATTTGGAAATGAAAGCTAAAGTGAAGCTATTAGAAACAAACATAAATCATGTCACCTTCCAGATAGAAGACAAAAATCATATTTATGTTAGATAAGTATGACCTTAACTCCTTCCAACATTTTGCTTTATAAGAAGTTACAACATGCCATGAAAGGAAAAAAAAAGCCTTCTGTAGGGGGCAAGTGACAACAAATATTGTTTTTTCTTTCCCCTTGTCTGTAACAATAAGTGGGAAAGCATCCAGAGATGGCAGTACAGGTGATGGCAAGGTGGAAGTGAGACAAAGGTAGAGGTAAGACAACTTACTATTGTCTTATTAAGACAACTTATTGTCAACTGAGGAGGCCTTAGGTGAACCCAATAAGAGTCTGATCTGTGATTATAGTATAGTTGCATGAACTGAGTAACTGGTTGTACCCTAACTACCTGATCTGCTAGAATGAAGATGCTTGTTACTAATGCAGTTTTGTTAGGCTCTGAAGAGGCTCATTGCCCAAGAATAGTTGCTCTGAAGTTTTTTTATTTTCATTTTTGAGAGGGAGTCTCACTTTGTCACCCAGGCTAGAGTGTAGTGGTGTGATCTTGGCTCACTGCAGCCTCTGCCTCCTGGGTTCAAGCAATTCTCCTGCCTCAGTCTCCTGAGTAGCTGGGATTACAGGCACATATCATTATGCCTGGCTAAACTTTGTATTTTTAGTAGAGACATGGTTTCACCGTGTGGGCTAGGCTAGTGTTAAACTCCTGACCTTGTGATCCACCCACCTCGTCCTCCCAAAGTGCTGGGATTACAGGCTTGAGCCACCATGCCTGGCCCACTAGTGCAGTTTTAATTAATGATCCAGATGATTTTGATACATATAAAAGTTTGTGACAGCTGCTATTGCAGACAGATTCTACAATAGAGTTGGGTTTATTTTACAAAGGGAGTTCTACTTTTCTAATATTTTAAAAATTTCTCTTCATATAATTGAATTTCTATTCATATTGCCTCACAACCTGAATTTGGCTTCTTGAATTGTTAAGTCATTAAAATTTTTTTGTGTCTGTTGTTCCTGAGTTGGCCAGGTCATAAGAACATACCCAAGGGGAGAGTGAGTCTATCCATGGAAAGTCTACCTTTGGAGGCCTGCTTATTGTCAACTGAGGAGGCCTTAGGTGAACCCAGTAAGAGTCTGATCTGTGATTATAGTATAGTTGCATGAACTGAGTAACAGAAACCATTTCTAACAACACTGGAACCATTTCACTGTTCATTTTTGAGGAGGTTAATGTATGCCACTCAACAACAACAAAAAATTCCCTGGGTGTAATGCTTTTTAATTTTTCTGTAGTTAACTTCTGAAATAAAGTAGCTTTTTAAACTAAAAAGTGAGTCTGAGTGAGTTGAAATGAATTTAGGGTTTGTGAAAGAAATATAAAGAAAGTGAGAAAAGAAGAGGTGAAAAATGTTTAAATCAATTTTACAGTGAAGGTTGTGTCTCTGGAGAATACTTCAAAACAGTGAAATGGTGAAGTATTAGTAAATGAGAGACATAATCTGGACAACTAAGGTGATCACCTGTATTTTGTTTTTTTAATTATTCTGAGGCATCTTAAAAATTCTGTTTAACTACTGGGTTTTGACTTTGAGGAATAGGAGTGATAGACTCACTCCTGCATGACTATGGAAGGAAGCAAAATTTCACACTCTTGTTAGGATATTTTGAATTTATGTTTTCCCCTAATTTCCATTCCTGGATTTTTGGTTTCCTTCCTTGTTAGAATAAATATTACAATTTAATTCATATTTCGAACACATTTCCTAGTGGAAACAAATTTTCATTTCCACAAAACATTTTCTGAGGTCCATTTTCTCTTTATGAATTATTGATGTATCCATGACACCAATGTATCAATGCTTTTAGCATGAAGATTATCTCTGTGTTAGATGGATAGTAGATACACTGCAGATATTACTTAATGGGCTGATATTTTGAATTGTCTTAAGCATTCTTTGCAATCCTGATTTCTTTTATGGAGATGTGAGTCTTCATGAAAATTTCTGACTAAAAGATTTCTTCTGACCTTTGGTGGTCTGGACACAAGTACCTTGGTGATTAAATTAAGGTACTCAGGTATAAATAACCTTATAAAAATGCAGGCTTGAGAATCCCAAAATAACATTCAGTACTGATATTTCAGTTGAAAATTTTCTTTTTCTCTCTTTTATATCTAGGCAGATTGTAATAGATATTAATACTGAGGCATCATTTTCCTGCCCACCTTGTATTTTAAAAAGTTTCTGATTTTTAAAAATACTTCTGAACCCAAGCTTCTAGATTCCCATAGATGTACTATAATCATGGCAGCTTCTGGGTCAATGCCCTATTTGATATCATGTGCCTTTTTTCTCTGATTAAGTGGGAATTGTTGGATTTGTATTTGAATGAACATTTGCACACTCTTTGACCAGTGTTCACAGTCATTTTCAAGTCTCTAACTGGAACGAAGGTAGAGGTACATACACTAACAGGAGGAAATGAGTAAGGTGCAGATGATGGTGTCTGTGCTTGACAGGAACTACTGCATCAAAACTTATCAATAGTAGCATAACTTCTGAAACCACTTAAATTTATAAATTGGAATTTATATTGATGTTTATGTCAAATGTGATACTATTAATTTGTTGAGTTTTAATCAACAAAGGTAAAAATGATGAAGATGTTTGAATTCTCTTATTTTAATAGACTTTATTTTACTTTTTTGAGTAGTTTTTGGATTTATAGGAAAATGAGTAGAAAGCACAGAGAATTTACAAATACTGCCCTCTCCCTTCCCCACTTCATCACCTTTATTATTAATATTTTGCTTTGGTGTGGCATATTTGTTAAAATCAATGAGCCAACACTGCTATATTATTATTAACTAAAGTTTGTAGTTTACATTAGGGCTCTCTCTTTGTGTTGTACACTCCATGGGTTTTTAAAATGTTGAATGACATATGTCCACCATTACAGCATGCAGAATAGTTTCCTTACCCTAAAAATCCCCTGCGGCTTAAAAAAAATTTAATGTGTTTTATTTTTCCAAGGTGAGATAATGTGCTTTTTTCCTCCTCGTAATTGAAATGTAGAAATGCAGTAGAAACATAACATTTGTTTAAAATATAACTTGTTAATGACTTAAATTTTTACAGTATCTGTGTTTTATAGTTTCAAACATGGTTAATTCATTCACATTCATTTAATAACAATGCTAACTGAAAAATACAGGGAACTACAATGGACACTTATTATCTCACAGTTCCATTTAGCAACAAGTTAATTGCTAAACATCTTTGAAAGTGAAACAACAGTTATAAAATTGTCTCATGTTCTTCCTAGATGAATCACTTTTCCTTAATACACAAACCTTGAACACATTCTCTTGATGTTTCTCTTGTGAGGGGGGATAAAAGAGATTCACCAGCACTTTCAAGTAACATTTTCTAAATATTCTTTTGTTTCTACTTTTATATGAGTAATGATTCTTTTTAATTCTCCAATTCTAGAATATGCAACCCTAAGAGGAATTAATTATTAGTGCTATGTGTAGTTCACCTGTTTGGCAGAGCAATAAATACTTGTTGACTGATTGACTGTAACTTAAGTAGTATGAATGTCAAAAGATTGGAAATGATTGACCAGAATATGGATTCTGAGTTTTGGACGTTAACAGCCAAGCAAACACTGAGACCAAATTGTAATTTTAATCTGTTCCCTAATCAGCAACTGTAGACTTAGAACGCTATTAAACTTCAGCTGTCTTTTACTAGAAGGACATATGTTTGTTTTACCTTCTCTTCAGAGATACAGAATAATTTTGAATTGGAAAGAGAAATATAAAGTACATGAGGAGCAAAATGATTTCCTATGTAGGTGACTTTACCCAAGAAATGTGTTATCTTGCAAGTGTAGAGTTGGACCTTGAGTTTCCTACAGTTACTGTTATGCTAATATTTCTAGTCAACATAGTTAAACATTGTTTGGTCACTAAGGTGTTTGTCAGATACAGATCAAAGAACTGGGTGGCTAATTGAACTTTGACTGAAATTACAAAAGGTATTGGCTTCCTAATGACCAGATCTTAAAGGGCTAATGACAAATGACGGAATAACATGAAATCATAGCACACTGTGACTCTCAGTGAAGATTATTTTCTTTGGAAGGCTGATCCCCATCCTTAATATTTAAGAACGGTGTAATGGAAATCTATGTATGTGTCTTGTGCACTTGCCTCAATACCCAAAGGATGGTGAATGGATGTAGATTTATATGTTTTAAGTGAAGAGATAATGTTGAAAATTGCACCTG